AGGTGATAGGCTCGAGCCATGTAGCTAATGGGATCTCTTGAAGGTCTACTTAGCCGGAGTAATAAAATGCATGTCAGATGGGAAAAAACATGAAGGACAGAATCAAAGGCTCAGATAGACAACTAGGTCATCTCACTCAGCCTTTAACAAAGGAAGATGGRCATGGTGATTATGTTGTTTTGTCTCTTATGTCCAGATTTACTGTGGCATTATGCCTGTTCCAAATGTGTTTCGGCATAAAACTTTAATCATTCATAAACTTTTAAGAAGCAGAAATAAATTGGCAACTAAATCCCTGCTCTGGTTTTATGTCTACTTTCCTTTTTAGAGAGTTACAAGGATTCTGAGGGTGCATTAGAGAAATTTATTTATTTAGATATATATACACTACACTTTCCTCTGCCAAAACGTGTTATATTTAAAGCAGAATAAAAAAGGTTTTGACATGACATTTGTGACATAACATAGTTGAGTTCTACTGCACAGAGAATGTGCAGGCATTGCTCAGTGCTAGGAAGTGAAGGGAAGATATTACTTCAAATGTCTTCACGTTCTCCTGGAGCTATTGGACAAACCGTAACAGCTCCTGGAACTTGAGGAGTTACGCTGTTCTCTTTACATCAAACTTTTCCCACCGATACTGTWTGACTCACCATCTGTCACTGGGTAAAGATGTGACTTTTTCACACACACACACACACACACACACACACACACACACACACACACACACACACACACACACACACACACACACACACACACACACATATATATAAGAGAGAGATATATATATATATATATATATATATATATATATATGACAAGATCTCCTCTTATGTCAACCTTTATTGTTGTGTTTTTTCCTGTTTTAGTCACCCATCAGTGACACAATGCTGCTACACTAGTCAATAAAGAGTTAGTAAAGTAATAAAATAAAGTGCATTTGCTTTATGTTCCTCAGGTATAAATCACAAAGTGCTTTACGATAAAAATTATATTAAAATAAATAAAATTAAAATGCAACAAAAATAAAAACTGTTATAATAAAAAAGCTTAGAAAAAAAGTATGTTTGATGTCTTAAAAACCCTGTTTAACTTAAGTTTGTAAAGTCTGAATATTTATAAAACTAAAACAGTGAAGAAACTTAACAGTTATCACAAGTTAATGCAGGCTCACTCTGCAGACAAGGCAGTCTTTATTGAAAAGTGCAATCCCCCAGGTTTTAAATCAGGAGTGAGGATCTGCTAATATTTTTTGAATAAATCACCTGAGGGTCTGAATTGAAGAATGAAGCTTTAAAGTGTTGGAAATATATTTGACTGTATAATTCTCTAAAAAAAACATACTTACCACTAGGGCTTTAAAAAAAATTCTAAAAGTAACCAGTTACCAGTGAAGAGACTTAAAAACATGAATTATGTTCTATTTGTTCCATTTATAAGTCTGTCTGCGGCCTTTTCTATCATCTGTAGACAATCAAAAACTTTTTAGTTTAGCCCCTTAACAGTTCTCCTGAAATTCCTTGAAAGCCTTTTGACATTTTTTTTTTATTTTATGTAAGGTGCCTGCTAATGTTACGAACTGGAGGACGTTGTCTGATACCTTGGTTTTCAAAATTTAAAAAATAAATAAAAAATGTCCCCAGTAACATCCGGAAACATTTAAATAGTAAATGGTGTGAAATTATATAGTGTTTTATCAAGCCCAGTTAGTCATTGACCCACACATTCAAACTGATGGTGCTAAGCTACATTATAGCAACAGCTGCCCTGAGGCACACAAACAGAAGCAAGGCTGCCATGTAACAGTGCCCCCAGACACTCTGACCACCATCAGTAGGCAAGCAGGTGAAGTGTCTTGCCCAAGGACACAATGATTGAGATGGCAGGAATGGGGGATTGAACCATCAAACCTCTGGTTACAGGACGACTCCCATAATCACTCCACCACTACCACAGAATCTGCACTGTTTTTGCCCACTAGTTAGGTTGGGGCTACGGTGCCGATTGAACAAAGACGGTTAAGGTGTTAAACAAGTAATGAGTGGTTTACTTTAAACAAGAGGACAAAAAAAGAGAGAAAATGACATATTCATATCTTGAAATAAGCCGCCTTCTTTTTGAAGTGTTTCTCAAGTGGAAATAAAGGAGTTTCAGACCAGCAGTCAGGAATGGTACAAGCGTTACTTTTCTCACATGTGACTGGACAGCACAGCGTRAATAAAAAAACAAAATATGCTGCTTGATTTGTAAAATCTCTCAAACAGGTGCAATGAGCAGACCTGTTGTCTTTTCTGTTTGTATAACATGTCTGACTCGTCTTGATTGGGATGTTTAAACAGATTGTCTCAGTTTATTTTCTCTTTTTTTTTTTTTTTTTT